TAAAGACAATGAGGTTTAGCAGGTTGCTTCAAGGGTTCATGAGTTTATTTCCATGCCCTAGTCAATAGCTTGAGAAATTCAAACTTCACTATTGGAGTGATCTTGGAAGAAATGGCATGACAAGGCTTATTTTGGTTCAACATATCTCAAAGTTATCAAAATTGATTCAAAAATACAAAGGGTTAAGGGAAGAAGTTGTCGTGATTGGACAAGGTCTTATTCCTATTGGTCACAAGAGCATATTTCTCTCTAATTTCAAAATATGGAAGTGGTTTTGGTGGCTATGAGTCCTCATCATCATCCTCAATAACTTCTATTCACAAAGGAAGAATATTGGCACAAGAATTTTGTTCAAACTTGTCCAAGTTCCTCAAAGCATTCTCTTGATCTAGAGGCTAGAGTTTTGAACTTCAAAGGAGCATATCTTGCACATCTTTTGGTATTTTTGATTGATTCCAAAGACATATTTCTATTCAAAGAGTTACCAACAAATCACTTCAAAAGTTCCAAGGATTTTTCATGTGGAAGGAACTTGGTGAAGAAGAAAGATTACAAGTCATCCAGGTGAATCCCCAATTTTCCATATGTGACTTCAAATAGTCATCACTTGGTCAATTTTTAGCACCTTAAGTCCATTCTTTTTCCATGATGATCTTAAGGATGTGTACTTCATGCCTTCTTTCATGTGCAAAGTAAGAAAATGGATGGAAGTTGCCTTAAGAATGCAAAAGATTATAGGTCATTTCATGATTTTTGGCCAACTTCAACAAGTCATAACTTGCTCAATTTTTGGAGATTTTGAGTGGTTCAAATTGAAAAATGTCATTCAAGAGATCTACTTCATTCCATATTTTTTGTTCAAGAGCAAATTCTAAGTAGAAGGCCATGTTTGGATACAAAAGATTATAGGTCATTTTTAAAGAAGAATTTGAAATATTTCTTAGTATGGAAAGTCAACTCTTTTTCTTCAACTTTGACTCCATGTAACTTTCAGCTCAAGCATCCATTTGATTCCATTCTTTTTCCATTGCAAAGCTTGTAACCTCATCTTTCCAAAGCATCAAGAATTATGCCCTAAGACCCCTTGGGTTGGAAATGCCATGGATTTAAATTTGGTAACTTGAAATTGAATTTTTCACAAAGTCAGGATTTTGAAATCTTTGTTTTGGCTTCTAATCACAAGTTTTCCACGCGTTTTTGTTTCTAATCATGATTAGCGACTTGCCAGAAGTGATTAGCATCATGAAACGCCCGATTTGGTTGAGTTTTGATCAAGTTTGAGTCACACTTTATTCATGATGCAGACCCACACGAATTCCCTCCAAAATGCATCATTTGCTCTTTCTCTTGATCCCATTTGCTTCCCTATAAATAGAGGGTCATCCCCCATCCATTTTCCCAAGCTTAGATAGCCAGAATCACCCTGCCAAACTTGTTTCACAACCCAGAATTCAGCAACTTCGAAATCCATTCTCAAGCCTTTTTCAATCCATTTTTCCCTCAATTCACCTTCCTTGATCTTCCCTAAATCTAACCATATAATTACATTCAAGAATCGTGCCCTATACTGTTCCCTAGAAGTCCAGTTTCAGAGCTCTGCAACTCAACTTCAATAGGTAGATTCCTTCATCAAATGTTCAAAACTATGATATCATTGTGTTGCTCTCATTGCCCTGGTTCTAGTCGCAACACTTACATTTCACTGGAAATACGTTTTGACCATGAATTTTCAAATCCCTTTTCAAAACTTTCCTTCCAAATTGCTTGAGCTACAGTTTATATAAATTTGGCGCGAGGGCGTGTTTGTTTTCGTCTTGAAGATATGAAGCGATTGGCATAGGTCTAAGCTTCTGATTTTACAGTTTGAGAGACCTGCAAATCACGTTGGCTGGAGGTTGAAGATGACCTACGTGTCATCTTCCAACCAATGATGGCACGCCATTTGTTATTTTCAAAAATCTGATTTATATTTGATTCTGTACATTATTCACTAATAAACATGATATGCACAGCGCTCCCTTGGATTTGATTACTAACGCGTTTTGACTCTCATCCAATGGTCCACATATTTTACTTTTATTTTCTTTTTATGATTTTTATATTTTAATTGTTTTAAATTTCAAAAAAATCATAGAAAAATCATTTTTAGTCCAAAAAATCTGAAAAAATTATGAAAAATATTTTTGATTATTCTCTTTCTGATTTTTATTTTTTCACAATTTAATTTTATGTTTTGGTATTTTTTATAAATTTTACACTTATTTGATTTGTTTAAAATGTTTAAAAATACTTTTATACATTTTTAAATTCTGGAAAAATTATGGAATGATCCAATGATATTGTGACAAATATTGGTGACCTTATTTTATTTTTGTTTCTGACTTTACTATTTTTTACTATTTTTGTTTATTTCACCCATTTATTTTAATTTTAAAAATAGTTTGACTTTTAAAAAATTACCAAAATTTTTATAAAAATATTTGGATCCATTTCTGATTTTTCTATGGCCTTATTTTTCATTTCTTGATTAATTTGAACATAATTGATATTTTCCTCATTATTTTCCATTTTTTTAAACATTTTTAAACCTTTTAATGCATATATTAAATATGATATTATTTTGTGATTATTTTCTGGTTGTCTTGAGTTGATTTTTTGATCATGGCTTTATTAACATCATTGGATCTTAGGTGTTGAGTTCAACTCCACCAAAATGGATGAATGATTTTAATAATAGTTTGATTAAATTTTAATTCAAAAGTCGTTTATTCATCTTTTTGCCCTAATCCTCTTCATCTCATCCTCTTCTCATTGCACTAAATGTTATTGGAACATGATCTCTATATCATGTCTCAAAACAAATGGTGCATAGATTGCTATTGACCAGCCTCAAAATAGGTGCGACTTCTATATAAGTCCACTTACGATTGCTTAACATAGCGCTAAATTTTGTCCTGATTCGAATAAATGATCATTTGTGGCCCAAACTTATGATTGCAAGCCCAAGTATGTTAATTTGATCTCTTTGATCCAATAACCTTGAGATTCATTGTGTGAAGGCTTTGGTTCTACCAATCCTATAATAGATCTACAACACCTTTGATCAACGCAGATCACTTAAACATCGTTGATCATTAAATGGTACTTATGAGAATTCCAAATGGATGATATACTTGACAAAAAGCAAATGCAACTTATTGTGTGGAGGCTTTGGTTCTACCAATCCTCTAATGAGTTCCAAATGCAAGTTTCAAGATGGTCATCCAACTAACCACTAATCATTGACTTATTTATCTTATGATTTTATTCTTTTTTATGCTTTATGTACTATTTATTTTTTAGCATTTTCATTTCATGCCATTTTCATTTTTGCTCATTTGAGCTTTTATTTTCTTGTCATTTTTACTTTGCTCACTTGAGATTTTCTTTTCTTTTCTTAAGATACTTAATAATCAACATAAACCCTAAAAAAACTCTTAATGGTACTTGGACTATTTGGTTACTATCCTTGGCATTATGGAGCATGGGACTTTTTCTTGGACTTAGGATTAGAAACCTTGGCCTATCTTGGAGACCTTGTGATCTTATCTGATTATTTTGTCTGGAGTTCTTGAGGTTTACCTCAAGACATTGGGTTGCTTGTTTGTTTTTGTGTGCAAGTTTTTATGATTACATTCTCTGTTTGTAATCTGGAATTCACCCGTATACAACCGTTACTCTGCCCAATTTTTGTGAAGACTTAATACACTTGAAGAGGTCTAGTATTTTTGCTTGCTTGGTTTCAATCTAAAGAATGGGAATTCTATCTTAGCTCATAATGTCAAGCTTTGGCTTCTTGTTGGTTAGATGGATCTTATCCTTAGCTTTTACCTTATGCTTTAGGATTGTCTCTTCTTCTCCTCCCATCTTCTTTAATTTCAAAAATCTTCTCATTCCTTTTTAAACTCTTCTTGTTTTGAAACATAAACTACTTTCATAATAAACTTGGACTTAGGTCCATGCATTTTCAAAATATTTTCATAAATAAACCCCAATCAATTTAATAATACTTTGACATTTTTGTGAGAAGACTAAAAGTCAATCAATCTCATTTCAAACCATTTTGCCACTTTGGTTTTTATCTTTAAACTTTTCTCAAAAGGTTAGACTCTTGTCAATCATTGTAGTGATGCAAACAACTATACTTCTACAATATATAGTGAAGTGAGATATTTTCCACTTGGGTGTTAAGTGAGGCATTGTTGATTTTAAAATCCAAGCCATATCCTCCACTTTGAGATGATGCAAATTCTCATTTCTCATGATTGTGGGTAGTAAGTATGTTTTCCACACGGACAATGACGATGATGTATTATCTCATAAAATTAACCAACACACTTGTGTTTCAAATTTTTAAAAGAGGAACTACGTGTACCCTGATCCCCTATTGCACGAAAGGTGGTACGTAGGCACTAAAGGTTCGCAACCGCGGCGGGTGCAAAAATCATAAAAAATATATTTATCTTCTCACCTCCATCATCTATTTATACACAACACATTTTTTTAGCCAAAATATACAAATTTTACAAAGAGGTTCCTGCGGAGTACCATAGATGTTTAGGGTGCTAATACCTTCCCTTTGCATAACCAACCCCCCTTACCTTGAATCTTTCCCTCTTTTTTTGGGTTATTCGCTCTTTTCCCATTCCTTTGGAAACAATAAAGCGCGGTGGCGATTTTTATTTTTGATTTGTGTAAGTCTAGTCAATCCAATGGCTTTGTCTTGAACATTTCTACCGCTACACCAACCAATTCCAAACGGCCCTGCAAACAGTCAGCAGAACTCCCTAACTGTTTTCTCAAGACAGAATTCCAAATTTTACCAATTCCCACTTTCCTAACAGCTCATAACAGAAACTAACCTCTTTTTAATTTTCCAACCTTCAACCCTCTAGCTTGATAACAGGATTCAACAATTATTCTTAACAGATTTTCACAACCAAATTCCAAATCTAATTATCCTAACCATTTCCTAATTGAATTCCCCCAGCTACTGTAACTGATACATCAGGAAAGAGTGATAACAGAATTTTCGCTAATTCCCTGAATGCCAATTCAAAATCTTCTAAACCCCTAACTGTTTTTTAACAGTTTCCAACTTCTAACTAGCCTAACCATAATCTCCAACAACCCTTAACAGAAATTCCCCAGTTAATTTCCCAACCATAACTAACCTCCTAATTAATGTAACAAAAATTTTCTCATCCTAACAGTTTCTTAACTAACTGTAAACAATTTCTAACCTCCTAACGGCATCTAACAGAAACTTCCAGCGAAAAGCAGATAACAGAATCACAGACTTCTTCCTAACAGAACTACAAAAAAAGGGATATAACAGAATTCATAAACAGAAAAGAGAGAAATATGATTGACAACAGAAAGAGGACAGAACTAACAGAAAATGGAAAGAGGAGAAAGAAGATATCATTATTCAGATTCACGAGTCAACAAAAAAACTCAGATTCAGAAAGTGAAGAAACTCACCATTGAAACTCTCTAAATTTCCATCTTCTTCCGCTCCCAATCTTCAATTCTTCAACATCTATATATCTTCTTCGATCTACAACGAATGCAGGAAGTGCAACATCCAATAATTCTCCATCATTTTTCTCTCTGCTTCAGGCGCATATCAACACTGCTTCACTGATTCTTCATCGACATCAACAAATTGCAAGAACCTTCTTCAATATCAATATCGAATATGCGGTACTTTCGCTCTACATCCGCAACACAACAGAAATCAAATGAAGAAGTAGAAGATGAATGGACAAGAAACTGCCAGTGGTTACGTGTTTCTCATCATTGACAAATTAAAGGTTGAAGTTAAACTCAAAGCTGAGACCATGGCGGAACCGCAATTGAAGCAAGCTGACAAAGGGGAACTCTCCACTAAAGCGAACGGCGGCGATACTAGTTTCAAATGAAAAAGAACGTCGCTGAGATGAAGAAGATACTTTGTAATGTTGAAACGAAGGAGAGGAAGGATCACTCTAAATAGTGATTCAATCGATGATGAGTTGAAGCAATCAAGAATGTGCGAGAGTTGGATCGATGAAGTTGTTGTGTAACGAGACAAAAACGCCAAGAGGAGAATGCTTCGATCAGATGATGGACTAAGTAGATCGGAAAGGTCATCTTGGCGATGGTGCCATTTGAGAGATAAAGAAATCCTTGGTTCGTGTGAATTTAAACAACCACACTTCGTAACCCTATCTGCATTCTTTGCTTTATTATTTTTATTATCTGATTTTTTTAATAATAAAAGTAATATTGGTGAAAAATTATGATGGTGATTTTTGTTGGTAGGATGGGCTGACTCAATCACTCTCCTGGCCTGCTACAATTCCTTTTTTTAAACCAATTGCCTTGAACAAAAAAAAACACCATGGATCATCTTTGGGTTGGGTCTTAGTGCAATTTTTTAACATAACCCCTATATAGATTCCATACTCCATCTGCTTTTGATTTAAATTTTCTTTCCATATTTTTTGTTGATAAAATATTATACAAAAATAGTAGAATATTTTAGGAAATATTTTTAGATTCTCCTTAGAATTTTCTATTATTTTTATGCTCGGTAATCGTTTTTTTTTTTTGCCATTTTTAGCTAAGATTTTATGAAAGGATATTGATGTAACTTTCGTAATGGGGAATGCTTGGAGATTAATTCTATGATCACTCATGCGGAGCAACTTCTGTAGACTTTTCTTATCACTTACGTGGCTTTGAAGAGACAACGTACTTTCTCAGTTTGGTATCATCGTAACCCTATTTTACTCCTTATTTCGCATTTTATTTCTTTCTAGATACCATGAGAAGTAGGTAATAAAGATCGTGTGCTCGAAGTCGCTGTTTAAAGACCTGTAGAAGGCATTTCGCACTTCATTTGCTATATGTGTTATGCTTGTGTTTGTTCCTTGGTTGTTGATCGATGAGTCACTCAATTTAGAAATTGAGATCACGACTTCGCTCTCAGTGCATGCTCCCTATAGGGTTTCATTGCTTTCCTTTATTTCTCGTTGATCGATGAGTCACTCAATTTAGAAATTGAGATCACGACTTCGCTCTCATTGCATGTTCCCTATAAGATAGTTTTGTTAGACTTTCTTTGGCATGCTAACTTAGATAAGATCTCTCTAGGTGTGCTCTCTTGAGCTTATTAGCTTGTTTTCTTTATCCTTGTACATACCATGTTCCCTTAGGATGTGCTTGTTCCTTTCGGATTCAAGTTATACTTTAGGTTGCAAACCATGCATGCTAACATTAGGTAGACGTTTCCCTTTTGTTAATCCAAAACTTAAGACTACCATTGTATGATAACATTAGGTTAGAAATAGGCTAGTCTCCCTTAGACTCTTTTCTTCCCTTTTTGCATCCTTGCATCTAAAACAAAAACCTCTTTTCTTTAGCAAATCAAAAACATGCTAATCATACCTAACCCATTTTTCAAGGTAATAAGAATACAAACCAATTCAAACTATTTTGTGCGCTCGAGCACCTTTTCTCAGAAAACCCTTTTCAGGTAAGGACATGATTAATTTACTTCTGTGCCGATGCATAAGTCTCCAAAGGTCGAGCTGCGGCAGAAGGCGGAGTTAACATTGTCCATAAAAAACACAAACAAACAAAAACATGTGAGCCGAACTACGGTAGCTCTGATTCCTCAAAAAGGATACGTAGGCATTGGGGTAGGGCCCAAGCGAGTACAATTTTATTTTCCCTACATTCTTTTCTCCTTTATTTTGCATGCATTCTCCCCTCAGTAGTATAGTAAACAGTAAGCATAGATTAAACACACCCATAAGATAGACAACAAGAGTTGATACCGTAGAGTACTACGGGAGTGTGGGGTGCTAATACCTTCCCCTCGCATAATAGACTCCCTTACCCAATCTATCAGTCGCAAGACCGTGACTTCTCCCTTCTCAGGTTTTCTTGATGTTTACCTTTCCCTACATGTGGGATAAAAGACATTTGATGGAGACTTTATTGTTTGATTATTTTCAGTCGGTTGTTTCAGCTGGTAACTTCACTGGGGAGAGGTCGACGAAATGCTGGTCCATCCCAGAGTCGCTCCTAGCTCTTGCTTTCTTTTCTTTGGGTGTTTATTTTATGCTTTCAGTTTGTTCATTCATTTTGTATATACATGAGCATATGTATTCATTGCATTTTACTGTCTTCCATATACTACTGTTGTACTGGATCTGCTTCTTATTGGGTGGATGTTACTATGAGGTAAAAGGCCCAATACCCAGGTCAGAGTTGTGTACCATAGGAACCCTAGGAATAGAGTGGAACATGAAAGGCTATTTGACTTAGGTCGCACTATCGCCGCCATGTCGTCCATGCTCAGATGAGGTACAAATGAGGGGCTATCGTTTTCACGTAGGTGATACGGCGATAGTTTTCTCAGGAGTACCCTCGATTCTGAGTTACCACGACCTTACCTTGACCTAGTTTTCACTCGTGAGTGGGGAGGGAATTATTATCACAGGTATATATGGTGATTATGCTCAGATGGTGACTATGTTCAGATTGTTACTATGTTCATATGGTGACTATACTCAGACAGTGACTATCGGTTCTATTGGTTATATTCTGGATTTTTGTCAGTGACTTATGCATATGGTGTTCTGTTGGTGACCATACGGCTCTCAGATTTATTTTCTGAGTTCCTAACTTGTTTACTTGGAGGTTCATTCGGGCCTTCAATATTGGTATTCCCTGTATGTTCAGAAAAGGCTCAATAGTATTCGTTGTTCCAAAAGCCTTGATCCCGTACAATGGGAGATCTACATGGTACTTGGTTCTTGTATGTGCGGAAGCTATGTCAGACCTTTGACTTGATGATACTCATATGGTTCAGAAACAGTGCAGCAATCATATTCAGAAATGATGGAACCTTGATCCCATTTGATCTCATGCCTTTACATACATAACATGGTTAACCACATGCTTAACATACATGTTATATTATTTCCAAGGAATCATATTTGCAAGCCTTGTGTTAAACTCTTCCATCTTTTACTTGCGTAAAATCAAAATCAAAGCATGCAAATTCCTTGGAAATTGCGGAACATGACATGACATTCATTCATGCACCCCATGCACGCATTCATAGCAGGTACTCGAAGATTGGGGATTCTTATCCAGGCCTGGTATTCTCTTCAAAGGTTCAACTTGATTTCTCACGGCACATGTTCAAGGGTCAGTTATGGAATAGCTCTGAGTGATATACATTCAAGCTTTGGCCCGTGATCAGAAATTCTTTGAGAAGCAGTATAATTGATTGAAGACTCAAATAAGTCAGGTCATGAAAGCTCTGGTGATGGTGTCAACAATCTTGCACCTACTGTCGCAGTAAAGGTTCTCTCTTCTCCTCATCTTTTAGGGAACACTTTCAATCAGGGAGCGCTACACAATCTTGAGTTCTTGGAACATCTCATCAGCACATGGTTCCCATTTACTATGAGATCTTATATCAGTGCTCCATTCTTGTTGACCAATGTCAGTTATGGTCGCTACACTGGGCATCCGACTATTCAATCGGGGGCACTCTCCACAGCTTTGTGTTCCTTGATCTGTTCAACAGCAGTCAGTCTTTATTCCCCTAGTGAATTCATGGGAAAAAGCTTTTAAGCAAATACAGAAGAAGCCTGATGAGCATGGTGATGTGATCCCAGTGCATTACATCCAGTTATTTCCTCTCATGGTGGAAGTTTAATTGGTAATGCTCTGATCTTTGGGGTCCTCCTTCCACAAACATCTCTTCTGATTGTGATACACAGGCTAGATGTATCCCCTATTCTGGGTCACCCGGTTTCGATATAAAAAAGTAAAGGGGTTGAAGTATAAAGCCCAATACTTGTCTGGCGTCTCTTCCAAAAGTCCAATTCCTATTTGGCTAATTGCCAGGATTTTTCTCATGAGTTGGATGTCTCTGTTGTTCTGAGAGAAGACGAATTGTATTATTTCTTTGAGACATGAGATGCTTGGTGATGCAATTTATACCAATTCTCTTGATGAAGCATTCATTCGTTCTCCTGAAAGAACCTTCTATGCATATTATACTGGGGCACCTGGCCATTCGATTGAAGGTATGTCATCCAGAGACCAGGTCCAAGACTAGATCAATTCAAAGACTGATATGTTCGTATCAGATCAGAAAGGGAATTCTCTCACCCATTCAGGCATCAAGACTGTAGAAAGTCATCAGAATCAAGAAATCCATATGGAGTCAAGTCTCCTCAACGATGGCAACCATTGGTTCTCTTTTAGTGCTTTTTCATTTGCATTCTTGCTTGTTTGTTTAAACATTGCTTGTATATAGAAACTTATCTATTTTTGAATGAAAATCTTAATGCAATAAGTATGCTTGTCTTGAAGTGTTCTTTTGTTTTTATTCATTCATTCGTTATCACTTTTTAAATGTTTTACTTGCATATTGATGTCGAGTTTCCAAGTCTTATGCTTAGGTAAAGAATCGAAAGAGGGATGACGACAATATAAAAACGCAAAATCTCTGGTTGGTATGCTTTTGAGTAAGACCCTACTGACGATGTACAGGCCTTATTTCAATCCCTAAACACTGGAGATATAAGGGAGATAGACCCTCGTTAACCCCTCTAAGCCTTCGAAGTAGGAGTTTCTTTTCTGTTCAGAAAAAACCCTCATTTTAACCCTGGGGCGGGTAGTGTTCAGCTAATCTAATCAAACATTCAAGACTCGTCAAGAGTGTACATCCAAGGATACAACAATGGTTATCCATCAAAAGGTTAAGGAAAGTCAAAACCACAATGGTTAACCCTCCTCTGTCAGCAACGTGCGTCTATTAACAATATCCCAATGGGTATCTCTTGCACATCAAGAAGCCGGGATTGGATGACGATACAACAATGGCTATCCCTCATCTACTAAAGACTCAGACAGTCACGATCACTTCCAACAAATCAAAGACAACGCAAAGATCAATGACTTGTTCAAAATGGAAATACGAATAAGAAAGAAACAAAAATCCCTGCTAAGTCAAAACTTGAAAATAAGTCGCTTAGGCAAAAGTTAGGGTATCTCGCTGGACTTCCAAATCAAAATTCAAAAGAATTTGTCCAGACAAAAATTAGGGAAAGCAAGAAGGGAATTGAAAAAGCCTAAAATGGCGAGAAAAGGATTACCAATGGAAATCCTCATCAAAGAACAAAGTCGTCTGATCAGACACCAAAATCAGAAGTTAGTGATTGTTGTGTCCAAGAGGCCTCAGTGGTTCCTCAACCATCACAAACTCTTCTAGAGAGATGAATCCTTGTATCGGGTCAACTTAATGTAGGAATGGAGAACATCATGAAGAATGGGTGGGCACCAAATAATTTTGAGCCTTAAATCCTTTTTTCTAAAACTATGAACCAGGCCACATTACAACCCATAAAAGTCCTAATTGAAGCATGGGTCAATTCAAAAGTGTGTTACAACGAGATAGCGTTTAGCTGACTCCTAAGAGGTATGTTTGAATATCTGTGTTGGCATCATATGCTTGCATTATCTTTCATAAAAAAAATAATTTGCAAATGTTTCTCTCTAGCTAGTGACTCGTTCACAATATAGTTGTGACGTCATTTCATTCAAAGTTTTTTCAAACTTCAAGACTTACATATGTGTTGCATTAGAATTATCATTCTCATAATAAACATCCTTCTGCATACAAAACAACTGATCGACATCAAGTAAGTTTACATAATGAACAATCGGTAAAGAGCTCAATCTTGTCAGAGAAGAGAGGCTTGAATACCCTGTTGAAGCAAGAGTTAGCTGCCACAAGAGAAATGACTTATCCAGCGACATGTTAACCAGATATTCTGTCAAGAGAAATCATCTTAGTAC